GAGGGGGATGAAGTCCTCTTCTTTTCTTTTCTATGTGCTCATGTCGAGTCTTCTGCAGACCAGCCAACCTACAAAACCCACTAAGCGCGCTTAGCTCGAGCAACCTACCGGTCATCGATTCCTGGAGGGTTGCCAACACGTAGCCTTCGACGGTCCTCCTCGGAGCGCTGCAGTTCCTTCTCCCGCTTCTCGGACTCGGCGATCAAATTAATGTAGTACATCATTATACGGTCCTCTGAAAGCCAGTACCAATACTCCTACTAATCCTAATTTCGCGGCGCAGCGGTAGACGAGGACAGGATGCTTACCCGAGGACGTCATACCGAGCTGTTGAAGGTGGAACCTAGAAGCAGTTGTTGGTGTATCAAGACACGCTATATGAAACAACTAGAACAGTGAACTCATACAGGAACTGCAACTGTGGTACTGAGTACAACAGAGAAGGAAAGAACGCATCCAAGACCTCCATGCCGTACTTGAACGTGATGTCGAGAGGATGGTCAGCAATTGTCACAATTCTTTGGCACTATAAAATAGGTCAGAGTAGCATTGGCTGCAGACTGAGTATGCAGGATAGGAATTGCTGTCGCTCAAGCAACAGCAATTCAAACCCTCCCCAAGAATTCCATTTTCCCAGGAGGAAATATGATGATGATGGAATATCACCAGATCAATTAGGTACCGGTTATCTCTATGGGTATTACCCATTGGGTAGTGGGTAGTACTGGCTCACGAACGGGCACAGTTTGAAGAGTTTGGAGGCTCGACATATATATCGATTAGTATGGCGCGCGCAACTGTCGAAGCTGTCCTCATACTCCTCAAGCTATTCAACATTGATCGTATCAATGAAGTTCCTTTTACCTGCGCTTGCCTTAGTGGCAACCTCTGTCGTAGGGGCCAAGGACAGTAGTGAAAACATCGACGGCCCCGTAGTTGGTATCGATCTGGGTACTACTTACTCCTGTGTAGGAGTCTACAAGAACGGCCGTGTCGAGATCATCCCCAACGATCAGGGTAACCGTATTACCCCCTCATACGTCTCCTTTTCGGAGGATGAGCGCTTCGTTGGCGAAGCTGCTAAGAACGAAGCTGCTGTGAACCCTCACAACACCGTGTTTGATGTCAAGAGGCTCATCGGTCGTCGTTTCAACGACAAGACCGTTCAGAAGGATAAGAAGTTGCTACCGTATAAGATCACCAACAAGAACGACAAGCCTATTATTGAGGTCGAGAACAAGGGTGAGGAGAAGTACTTCAACCCTGAGGAGATCTCTGCTATGGTATTGGGTAAGATGAAGGAGACTGCCGAGAACTACTTGGGCAGCGAGGTTAAGAACGCTGTTATCACCGTACCAGCTTACTTCAATGATGCTCAAAGACAAGCTACTAAAGATGCCGGTACCATCGCTGGTTTGAACGTCCTCCGTATCATCAACGAGCCCACGGCTGCAGCTATCGCTTACGGGCTTGATAAGAAGAACGAGGAGAACATTCTCGTGTATGATCTTGGTGGTGGTACTTTCGATGTGTCATTGCTGACTATTGATAATGGCGTCTTCGAGGTGGTTGCGACTGCTGGTGATACTCATCTTGGTGGTGAGGATTTCGATCAGCGTGTTATGGATCATTTTATCAAGCTTTTCCAAAAGAAGAATCACAAGGATCTTCGCACTGACAAGCGTGCCTTGGCGAAGCTTCGTCGTGAGGTCGAGAAGGGCAAGCGCGCTCTCTCCTCGACCCACCAGGTCCGCATTGAGATCGAGAATATCATGGATGGTATCGATTTCTCTGAGACTCTATCTCGAGCTCGTTTCGAGGAGCTCAATGCTGATTTGTTCAAGAATACTTTGGGTCCTGTAAAGACCGTCCTTTCCGATGCCGGTATGAGCAAGGGCGATATCGATGAGGTTGTTCTTGTCGGTGGTTCTACTCGCATCCCCAAGATCCAATCCTTGATCAAGGACTACTTCAATGGCAAGGAGCCCAACCGCGGCATCAACCCCGATGAGGCTGTTGCCTATGGTGCCTCCGTCCAGGGTGGTATCTTGAAGGGCGAGGCTGGTCAAGATCTTCTATTGCTGGATGTGACTCCTCTTACTCTTGGTATCGAGACTGTTGGTGGTGTCATGACCAAGATCATCGGTCGTAACACTGTTATTCCGACCAAGAAGTCCCAGACCTTCTCCACCTACCAGGACAATCAGCCCGCTGTGAGCATCCAAGTCTTCGAGGGTGAGCGTCCTCTTACCAAGGATAACCATCAGCTTGGCAAGTTCGAGCTCTCGGGAATCCCTCCGGCTCCCCGAGGACAGCCTCAGATCGAAGTCACTTTCGAGATAGACGCTAATGGTATTCTCAACGTTAAGGCTGAGGATAAGGGGACGGGCAAATCCGAGAAGATCACCATCACCAACGACAAGGGCCGTCTTAGTGAGGATGAGATCGAGTCTATGATCAAGGATGCTGAGAAGTACGCTGAAGAGGATAAGAAGGTCAAGGAGCGTCTCGACGCTAGGAATGCTTTTGATGGCTACTTACGTGCTATGCGGTCTGCGGTCGAAGGCAGTGGCTCCTTCAATGGTCTCGGTGATAAGATGGACGAGGATGAGAAGAACGAGGTTCTCGATGCTGTTAGTGATGGTGAGGAGTGGCTCCAGGCTAACGGTGAGACTGCGGAGCCTGATGAGATCAAGGACCAGCAGAAGGAAGTCGAGAGTGTCTGTGCACCTATCGTTTCCAAGTACTACAACGCTGGTGCCGCTGATGAAGAGGATGACGATGACGATGACTATGACTACGACTCTCCTGATGAGCTGTAAAGTGTGTCTTCCTGTTCCTTCTCGTAAACACTGTTTTCATAGTGGTTTCTTTTCGTGCTCAGAATCACAGCGCGCGTTGTGTGTCGAGTAAAGCTACTCTGACAACCAAAATGACCAGTCTCGAATGATGAAAAGTGTCTAAATTGGAATTCCTCGTTTCAGTGAGGGCTCCCTGCTCTATGCTGATTGAGTACACACCATTCTGACGAGATATAACTGGTGGAAGCATCGATGATGAAACGTGTCTAAACTGGAATTCCTCGTTTCGGTCAGACCCATGTCGATGCCGATCGTTACACACCTTCTGAGATGCATTGTTCTTATTGTGAGAGTGGTTGTCGATGATGATATGTGTCTAATTTGGAATTCCTCGTTTCGGTTAAGGTGTTCCTGATGCCGATCTCTTACACACTATCTGAGACTAATCCTTGTGATGGAGAAAAGTATAATGCTATCAACAACGAAATAGCTCAGATCATTTTCTTGTGAGAACTGTACTATACGAGCATGCGTGGCAATAATCGTCCAAATGCGAACTCTCTCCGAATCCCTTTAAGAGTGGTATTCTGAATGGCTTCAGCGCGAACCGAAGAGTCGGTATACTTTTCCTCCGTATAATCGTCCATCATGAAACGTAAAGTGTGGCGTGCTTCTTCAAACACGTCTTGATCCATGTACCTGGTAGGAATCACACACGAGACTAGAGTGAGGATGCATACTCGGTGTAGTGGTGAACGTGTGCTTTCCGTTTATATAATCGCCAGAAATTCGCGTGCATCTTCTCGAACACGGGTCGGATACCACAGCTATTCACCAGAGACAACAGCGAGTACCTGAAGGCAAGGTCGTCGTATAACCAACCAGGAAGCACATGCCGTACGGAAATGCGCTGTTGCGGCCTCTCCCAGCAGCTGTGCTGATGGATGTGGGCAACACGTTGCAAATACCGATCTTATAGCAGTCGTCAAGGTAAGCAGGTCGATTCAGAGTCTTCTTGATCCGGCTCACATTACGGTTAACGTCGTTCAAAGAGCATTCACCTGAGCAGCGGAGCGTAGTTTATGAGACCCGCATTAAACACACCTCTGAGGAGGAAGGCTGAGGCTAGGGAAAGAGAAGCTCTCGGGTCCACGCCCGGCACCGGATCCAACAAGCTGTGATCCG